GTTGGTTGGCATCCCTGGCTTGAACTATATGGTGCCCTACAAACCTGCCAAATTTTTGCACCAGGGATCAAACTCAGGACCTCACACTTTCCAGGCAGGCATGGCACCACTGACTCACATCCCTGGCCCAAGCGTACCATTTGTAAAAATCAAAATTTCTAGACATTGTCAAATATATTCTGAAGTCATAATCATCCATGGTGGAGGACAATTAGCCTGGAGTGTGACAATGAGAAACAGTCTGGTGAATTTCCAAAGTTCAACCCTTATTCAGCCCATCACTTTGGATAGATTATTTAACTTTACTGTCTCATTTTTGCAAGTGTAAAATGAGTCCTTAATAATATTTACCATTTTCAATATACATATGTAAAATTTTAATCTGATAATCCTTATGAGATTCTAACAGTCCACAGTGCACGCAAATGTTAATAAATATCTTGTAATAAATATTTCAGAAATGATTTAAGTAAATGACAATTTTATGTAGTGTTCCATGCATGAACTCCTAAGTGCTTTGTAAAAAGTGTCATAAAGGTGAAGTTTGCAGTAATGTCCCAAGATTCTACAACAAATAAACACAGTGCTATCTCTTGATGAGGAGAGAAGAGCAATTTTCTGAAAATATCAAGACTGGTGTCCTCTTTACAAGACAGCATTTTGTAGTCTTAAAGAATTTACCCATCTCAGGTATTCCAGACTTTGGAGGAAATTTCAATTTAGAATTGAGCAAAAGTTCTAATGAGGGTAGTCCTCTGGACAGTAAAACACTTGAGGAGATGTAACAATACAGATTCTCTTGCATTCACCCAATTACTGATAACCTGGTCCCTTAGGAACACAGAGTATACAGGAAATTTTTCCATTCTGCTCAGAGCAATGCCCCATGGGGTAATTCATGGTTCAGGGGTTGGAATAATAAAAGGAAATGTACCTAATGAGTAGATATAGGGAGCTAAAGAAGATTTCCCTGATGCTGTCCTTCAGAAGATACAATCTTGGGCTGAACAGGACATGGTAGCTACTTTTGGAGACCTAAGTCTTGCTATGTGACTGATGCTTCCCTCTTTCCTGGTGTTTTGTATTGGTCAGAACTTTAGTCTTCATCAACAACTATTCAAGAAAGAACTTAGACTTTAAATAGTAATCTCTGCCTCAAATAACCTATCAAGGTGAGTTGAAGACACAGTCAGTCCTTCATAAAAGGCTTAGCAAACAGGAAAGCTAGTAGAATTCACCTTTTGCTACCAGGGAAACTAAGTATGCCTGGCCCAGAGCTTAGAGATCACTAAATTTGCTTACTTGATTAATTTGCATCTTATTTAATATGTTACCAAATAAATGTATCAAAGACACTAGAATTCATGCATACATCATTGTTGAATATTATGTGGTGAGAAAAGAAAGTAAAATGAATAAGACCAAACAAAATAGTGTTTAGAGTATTTTCCACAAACATGGAACACATCTAAAGAGTTTTAACATTAGGATATCCAAAAAAGAATGGAGGGATATGCATTGAAGTGAGATATTTTTCTTTAATTATGAAGCTGAAGTATATTTGAGCCTGTTTCCATGTTTATCACAAAGATCAGATGAAGAGATTGCTTTAAATAGTACTTTTCAGCAACCATTCATGGGACAAACCATTCAGTTATCTTCTCTCACACAGCATTTCTACATGGACAGATTAAGTTTTATTTGCCTCAGGGAAAACCATTAAGAGCTTTATATTACAATTATTTTACTATTACTGATGGTGGTGGTAGTTTTTTCAGTTTGTAGCCCTTTTTCTTTCCATTTGCAATTTTAAAATGTGCAAATTCTTTCAAAGAACAAATCAAACTTCTTTTACTATGTTTGCTGTGTGAATATATATATGAAAATTTATACATTTTCTATAATCCAATATATGTCATCCATACTGCAAATCCATTCTCTCATTGCATTTTAAAATAGAGAGTTCCTCTGTATTATTAAAAATCAATTGCCTATATATATTTTGCCATCTCATTTCTCATTTCTTTTTCCTTATTACTGCCTTTTACCTTTTGTGACTGGTTCTACTTTTATAAAAAAGTTCATCTGCCACATTATCAAAGATATACATGTGCATTTCATTACACATTGTCTAAATGTTTTGTAAGCATCATTTTATACATGGAAGTTTCATTGTATTTATGCACATTTTCCTTCTCTATAACTGTATAGATAGCATCTTGTGGTTACTGTGAGGTGTAAATGAGGTAATGCACACAGTGCTTCTGGCTGACATGCTGGGTAAGAATTCATAGAGAGCTATTAGAATGTTCTGAATAATTACAATTTAATTTCATGATTGTTGCCATTTTAACCAGTATCATAAATGCAGTTATATAGGATGAAATTATAACTTTAGTTACTCTTTCTTGTACTTCTAATGAAAATGTTTTTATTATTTAATGTCCCGTTCTTGGTTAATTAAATGTTCAATTAGGACACATGGTCATGTGATTAAACTATAGTTACTTTAGAACTTTTAATTAATAATTTATTTTATGTTTTTATTTATTGCAGTAATTTGAATTAATTCATTTACTTAGTCTTTCTTTTTATTGGATGTGATCAAAATATACAATGCACGTTTAAATTTAAAAATTACAATAAAAGACACATTGCCACTAGTTCTCCTTTAAAAGACACATTGCCGTTAGTATCCATCAAACTGTTTCCCCTCTACATACTTCTCTCACTTTAGATATGGTTTATCTTTCATGACACTTTTTGAAGCAGTTCTAGAAGTTCTTTTTCACAAACGCCTTTATTGAAAGTGATAAAATATATGATGAATGTAGCTGCCAAGTGCCATGTAACAGAAAGGCAGTCTCCTAAAAACATTACAGTGGGTTCTCATGCCCCTTTCCACCAGATCTGGCATATGACTTCTGGATCCTGCAAAAGACAAAATGACCATGAAAGGTAAACATTTTGAGTCAGTTCAGGACAGCACAGTGGGCAGCGGTGCAACTAAAGACACTTGTGGAAGAAGTCTCAGAGAAATATATCAGAAAGTGTCAGAAATGATGAGCTTTGTCTTTGAAGTAAGGAAACATGTTTTGAGTCAGATTAATGGCAATGTAAAATTTTTTTATTTAAATATTCCCCGTATTTTTAAAGCACATCTCATATAACCTCTTAATTTTTAAACTTTTTCAGTTTTGTAACTTTTTATCCTATGTTCAAACATTTGAATTAGCAAAAGAAGGTAAGATCTCTGTTTAATTTGATATAAGATTTTGACAACAAAGGCAAAAAATGAAATAAATGGTTGTATGTTATAATGTTTCCAGGGATCCATTATATGAAAAGAGAATGTAGATTATCAAGGCAAGTGCAAGATTTTATAGAGATTACTACAGAATAAACCATGGCTTCTGTACTCATATACTGCAATTGAGAATAATTATTTTTACCTGTTGTTCAATTAATTTTGTTAGCATTTTCTTGTAGATATTTGCCTATATTTTCATTAAGGATATTGGCCTATAATATTCTCTTTTGTAGAACACTTGTCTGTCAAAATTTTGACTCTTATAATACAGAAGCTCAAAGGCTACCTAAAAAAGAAGTAAGGAAGGATTGATTTTGGTCTCCTAGATGTCATCTAAGTAAATGTAATGCATGGTTTCCTTCATATATCCAAAATGGTCAAATTCACATGTGCATGGAATAGAATGGTGCTATCAGAGAAGTGGAGGGTGGGAAAATGTGGGTTTTAAAATATTTTTTAATAACTTACACTTATTAAATTCTGAGGTATATGCTGTACAACATCATTCCTAGTGTAACAATATTTGGATGAAATATTTGCTTTGAGAGTAGAACTCACATTAAACGTTCTTACCAAAAATAACAACAAAATGATAACAGCAGGACATTCCAGGAGGTGAAGGATGCACAGATAACATTGATTGTGGTGACTGGATCACATGGGTGACATATATCTGGACTCTGCTGATTGTATACATTCTTTCTCTAAGAATTTTATCTCAAGTTGCTTAAAGCAAAAAGAAAAGAGATCATGTGACTAAATAACCTGCTGCACCTTGAAAATCTTAACATTTCAGCAGCATCAGGGAGGCCACCTCCTTCCTCTGTTTTCTCTGTCAGGAATCCCTCATTATCCCTTCTTGTTCATTCTGATTACTACATTCTGGCTTCCTTTTGAACTTTTAATGTGAAATAAGCTCCTTCCATGGGACCTTTGCACTGCTCATTCCTCTGTTCAAACATGTCTACAGATAACATGGGTCACCAAACCTGCTAATTCGATGTCTCAGTTCAAATGTCATCTTCTTTATAAGTCTTACCTGTCCACCTATAAAGATAGCACCTTTATCCTCACATTTATTTGGTTATCTATATATCCTCATAGCAATTACTAGCATATATGATATACAATCAACACTTTTTTAAATGATACATACAAATTGTGCATATTTATGAGGTATCATGTTTTTAGATGTTAGATAGATACATGATCAATAATAGAAATATAGATTTAGGGCCAGGGATTTAGCTCAGTGGTTCCACTGCCTGCATCACAGGCACAAGGTCCTGAGTTGGATCTCCAGTACAAAAATGTATATAGATAAGATAGATATACTGTAATGCTCAAATATATCTATCAACCGAAATATTCATCATTTTTGTGCTAAAACATTCAAATTGCTTTCTAACTTTTCTTTCTTCATACTTTACTTATCAACTTGGATTTTTCCACCTGATTGGATTGCCAGGACTTTTATCAGCATTCTGTATTCATTTAATAACCAGTTTATATTCCTTAAGAGCAAGAAACATTTTTAATTAAAACTACAGATTACACAATATATTGCATTAAGGAAAAGACAGAGAGATGAAGATCCCTAATAACAGATGGCACAAGGGATGTTCTAAGAATCACTAGGTATAAAACTAGTAGTGTTCTTTTTGTTTTTCATAGTAGACACCTACAGCACATGGAACAAAAAAACATTACACGAATTTCAGAATTTCTTCTTCTGGGATTTTCAGAGGACCCAGAACTGCAGCCCCTCATCTTTGGACTTTTCCTGTTCATGTACCTGATGGCTGTGAGTGGAAACCTGCTCATCATCCTGGCAGCCATCTCTGACACCCACCTGCACACACCCATGTACTTCTTCCTCTCCAACCTGTCTTTTGTGGACATCTGTTTCATTTCTACCACTGTGCCCAAGATGCTGGTGAACATTCAGACACAAACCAAGGTCATAACTTATGAAGGATGCATAATCCAGATTTACTTTTTTGCATTTTTTGTAGGATTAGACAACTTCCTCCTTGCTGTGATGGCCTATGACCGGTTTATGGCTATCTGTCACCCCCTGCACTACATAGTCATCATGAAGCACCAGCTCTGTGGATTGCTGGTGCTCGTGTCTTATATTACAACTGCCCTGAATTCCTTGTTACAGAGCTTCATGGTGCTATGGCTGTCTTTCTGCACTAACTTGGAGATCCCTCATTTTTTCTGTGAACCTAATCAGTTGGTTCACCTTGCCTGTTCTGACACTTTTCTTAATGACATTGTGATGAATTGTGTAGCGGGAATTCTGGGTGGTGGTGCCCTTGCAGGAATCCTTTACTCTTATTCTAAGATTGTCTCCTCCATTCATACAATTTCATCAACTCAGGGTAGGTATAAAACATTTTCTACCTGTGTGTCTCATTTATCGGTTGTATCCTTATTTTATTGTACAGTTTTAGGTGTGTACCTTAGTTCTGCTGTTACTCAAAACTCACACTCAAGTGCAACAGCTTCAGTGATGTATAGTGTGGTCACACCTATGCTGAACCCCTACATCTACAGTCTAAGGAATAAAGACATAAAGAGTGCTCTGAAAAGACTCTTTGAGAAAGAGATTATAAAACAGCCCATTGTTTTTTGCTAGAAAGTTGCTGGTGATCACAGGATTCAATCCCCAGGGCAAAAAATTACAATATTTGATCAGAATGTATAAGGAATTTGTCCCTTTTCCTTCTATCTCCTGGAGTTTCCATTTCTTTGATTTTAATATCTCTATAATATTTATGTACCTCACATTGTCAAGTTGTCTGCTCTCTCTGACATTTGAAAAGTTTCCCTTTATCATGTTCTTGGTGTTATTTTCAATCATTGGATTAGAAATATGAGAAACTTCCATTTGTCTCTGGGGACAACGCAGAATTTTTAAGAACAATTTGTTCTCAATTGCTGTAGATCATACTGAGTTAATTTTGTTGTTACTAAAACAAAGAGGCATGTGTTTTACTTCTATGGAAGATATCACACATTTCAGCTAAGGGTATTTGTATAATTGTATACCAGAAGAACTTCTGAGACCATAATTTTACACTAGTGTGTACATCATTCATTCATACATAAATTTTTACTTTACTTATTTAACTGTTCTTCCTGACAGTGCAAATTATAGCAGATGTATGTGTTTTATCACAGATAATTCATTTTTATTGTATAGAAATTCTAGTGCAGGAAATAGATTTTTCTCCCAACCAAAGTAAATATTCCTGCTCTGCTGCAAACTTCCAGTATATTATTCCTAGGCTGGGAATAAATGACCTCTTTTCCTTCCAGGTAATTCATAGACCCAGGGTCCACATGTCTAGCTCAGTATTTAACAGAGGTAAAGAAACATCATTTTCCCCTGATAAGCCTGAGGCCATTGACATGTACAGGGCTATTTTTTCTGTATTTTGTTTGTTTGTTTCTTTATTTGTTTTACTCTTTAATATAGTTTCAGGTTTCTGCTTTTATATTAATATTTCCTGTCCAAGACAGATAGGTTATTCAAGGGAATAGCATTGAAAATGCAAACATACAACAAAGACGTAGAAATTGCAAAGGGGATGGGGAGATGAAGCATGAGTTCAAGTCCTAATGACTTGAATGTTAGGAGTGAAGAGAGATAGAGTCATTAGGGAAACCACAGTTCACAGAATGGACAAAATAAAGTAATAGACAATGATTTTGTCTCATGTGTTTTTCATGTGCAGAGAGTTCTTGTGTCCATCAAGGCTTCACTGTCAAGAACAAAGAAAATGTCCATTTTTGAAAATCAGGCTCTTTGGAATTTTTAAATTGTTATTGGTATATATTTTCAGTACATAATGATCATATGCTACATGAGAAATTGGCATATGTACATAACATATCTTATATCTTTTCATCCCCTTCCCCACCCTTTTTGTCCCCTCCCTCAAATTTCTTGATCCCCTTGCCTTTTGCAATTTCTATTTGTATATTTCTCCTCTGGAGGTCTTTTAAATTATCGAGACATTTACATGCAATGACCATCAAAGAACAGAAATATTCTATAACTGAATTGTTTCATTACAATGTATACATGGTGCAAAACTATTCTTTTTACTTTAATGAACACATTTTAATTGTATACATTTATGGGGTGTAGTATAATATTTGGGTGTGTGTATACAAAATGGCATAATCAAATCAGAGCAAGTGCCATACCCATCCTCTCAGATATTTAATGGGTTTTTTAGAAAAACTACAATGCTTTTTTCCTGATATCCTGAAATGCAACAATATTTTACTGTTACCTATAGCCACCCTACAGTGTTATGAAACACTAGAACTTAGTTCACCAACTGTATTTTTGTACCTCATCACCAACCTCTCTCTAACTTCTCCCCTAACACTGCTCAGCTTCTAGGAACCACTAGTACCTCTGCTGGCACATATGAGTCAGAATGCAGGATTTGTCTTTCTATGTCTGGTTTATTTTACTTAACATAATGTCCTCTAAGATCACCCTTTGTACCACTATTCACAATAGCCTACCTATTAAATCAACCCAGTTGTCCATAAATTGATGAAAGGATACAGAATATATAATCTACCTACACAATGGAATATTATTTAGCCATAAAAAGAATAAAACCCTATTACTTGCAGGATGTAGCTATTTATGAACTTGTGCAAATATATGCATGGCATATTATAAAAATTCTAAAATTCCTGTCAAAACTGTGTACAGTTGGGGAGAACATTTAACTAAAAGGTAATCCAAAATAGTTACTAAAACAAATTCAGACTTTATTTATTTATAGATGACAAGTTTTGAGTTAAGGAATTCAAGGCTATGCCATCCTTAAGGACTTGTTCTGCAACTTCATTTTTCTTCACCATCTCCCCCAGTGTGTGTGTTTCATCCTTACATCTATAGGATAACTGCTTCATGAACAGATATTGAATTCATGTTCCAGGCATGAAGACTGGGATAAGAATCAAGGATGGTCTATAAAGGAGAATTCCTCATGGGTCTCTCAAAGAACAAACTTTCAAATGATGTATAACACACACACACACACACACACACACACACACATGCACACACAAATGAAATTTCAAAATGCAGTGAATTTTGAAAAAGTGAATTACTACAAGCAGCCAGAACTCAGAATTCAGTCCAAGAAACAAAATCTATCCACCTACTCAGAAACTTACCTTGTATTCAATTTGAAGTGCTGCTTCTGCCTCTATGATAACCACCCTTTACTGTAACAATAGCATAAAGACCTCACTGCCTCTCTGAAGCTTTATACAGATAGCAATATACAATGTGCACTTTGGTGCCAGGCTCATTCTACTCAATACTATCTTTGTAAGTTAATTTTGTTCATTATGAAAGCACGTGTTCTCCATGTAATTCCACATACAAGACATTAGCTTCCATCTTTTTGGTCAAACCTTGAGCTTATGATATAGTACACAAAATAATGCCCTCCAACCATGTTTATGTCCTGGTCTCAGTAACCCAAGAATATGTTAGTCTACATAGCAAAAAGAAATTTTAGTGGGAGTCAAAATTTAATTTCTGAAAAAATTGACCTTAGATAGGGACATGGACCTACATTATATGATGGAGCCAACACAATTAAGCTACTTAAATATGGGAGAGTAAAGTAGGGTGAGTGACATGAATTTGATTTCAATCTTATACACATCATTAACCAGTTTTCCCTTGATCATTTGTCAAAAAGGTATCTTTCCTCCAACATGTGTTTTTGGGCCCCTTGTCAAAAATCTGGTGACTGAAGGTACACGAGGTTGCTTTTGTATCTTCTTTTTGATTGCATTGGAACACATGTCCATTTTTTGGCTATTAACATTCTCTTTTTATTACTGTATCTGGGAAATATAACTTGAAATCCAAAAGTCTGATGCCTTCTTTGCTCTTTCTGTTCGGGATTGCTTTGGCTATTCTGGGAATCTTCTGATTCTACATAAGGTTTTTACTATATTTGAGATCAGTAAATAATGTTGTTGGTGTTTTACTATGACTTGCAATAAATTGATGGATCACTTTTTGTAATATGGACATTTTAACATTGTTAACTTTATTTATCCTGGAAAAAAACAAAATATATCAAAAACATAGATATAAAAAATAAGTGATAAAACTACTGGAACATTGTGTGGGGTTGGGGTTTAGCTCAGTGGTTCTGCCACCTGCCTCACCAGTGCAAGTTCCCAGAGTTCAATCCCTGGTACAAAAAAAACCAAAAAAACTACTGGAACTTAACAGTGGAAACACTTGGAGCCATAGGCATAGGCAAGGACTTCCTGAACAAAACTCCAGGAGCCTGAGAACCAACATTAAATGGATAAAGAAACTGTGGTATTTATATAAAATGGAGTAGTACTGTGCTAAGAAGAAGGATACATTTGAGGCACTTTTAGGTAAATTGATGTACCTCAAGACTGTAATGCTAAGTGAAATAAGACACACATTTTATATCACACTGTTTC